AGGAGTAACAGGAATACAGAGTACTGGGCTAATGGTAAGATTCTTGGTAGTGTGGATGCGCAGAAAGATCTCGGTGTCCATGTGCATAGATCACTGAAAGTTGCCACCCAGGTTGATAGCGTTGTTAAGAAGGCGTACAGTATGTTAGGTTTTATTGGTAGAGGGATTGAGTTTCGGAGCCATGAGGTCATGTTGCAACTGTACAAAACTCTGGTGCGGCCGCACTTGGAGTATTGCGTAAGTTCTGGTCACTGCATTATAGGAAGGATGTGGAAGCATTGGAAAGGGTGCAGAGGAGATTTACCTGGATGTTGCCTGGTATGGAGGGAAGGTCTTATGAGGAAAGGCTGAGGGACTTGAGGCTGTTTTCGTTAGAGAGAAGAAGGTTAAGAGGTGACTTAATAGAGACATACAAGATGATCAGAGGATTAGATCGGTGGACAGTGGGAGCCTTTTTCCTCGGATGGTGATGGCTAGCACGAGGGGACATAGCTTTAAATTGAGGGGTGATAGATATAGGACAGATGTCAGAGGTAGGTTCTTTACTCAGAGAGTAGGAAGGGCGTGGAATGCCTTGCCTGCAAAAGTAGTAGACTCGCCAACTTTAAGGGCATTTAAATGGTCATTAGATAAACATATGGATGATAATAGAATATTGTAGGTTAGATGGGCTTCAGATTGGTTTCACAGGTCGGTGCAACATCGAGGGCCGGAGGGCCTGTACTACGCTGTAATGTTCTATGTTCTATGTTATATGTTCTAAATCAGATAACTGGAAATAACTGCTTGATTTCACTGAAACTGCTTCCAGGGCTTCTTCTGCATAGTGACAGCCTTGGAGGGGTTTTATTTTCTTTATTCCCTAATTGGGTTGCACTCACGTCTACTGAGGGGAAGCTAATTTATCCTTCTGTAAATATATAAATTAAAGCAATATACAGAATTCGGATGACATATTTATAGAAGGAAGAATGTACTTGCACTTGATTCTGTACAATCACTGTTCAAGAGATTACAGTACAGGAGTGAGAACTCCTTTCATAAATAAGTTTATTAAATTGTTGCTAAAGAATTTGGAATTTCAAACAATCAGTGTTGCTGAACCTAAGGAATTTAAAAGGCGTAAAATAAGATATTGTGAGATCACTGGCTCTATTTATTCAGTCTTTCTTGGTCTTGGAGAATGTACCAGAAGACTGGCAACATGTAAAAACAAACAAACATTTAAAGAAGCATTGCTGAGGAAAGTTTGTAAGGATTATCACAGGAGGCAGGCATAGTTAGTTTACCTTCAATGGTGGCGAAACTTACAGAAAAATCTGTTTGACTTTAGATTCTCAAGCAATTTCTGATTTTGTTTTTGATTTACAGTATCCATTTTTGTGATGAATTTATGCTGCCTCTCCTCGATTAACTGAAGAAGTTCAAGATGTTCATTTAGCCTATCCTTGATGATCGCATCAAACTGCAAATCAGAATCAATGTGCTGTATGGTTTACTTCTGCTCTTCCATCTTATTTTCTTATAATATTGATATTTAGTGACTATAATGAAAACAACATTGCTAGGTCTTCCCCCCGGTTTGTTCTTGTTAATCAACAGTATAAACATTTTGTTCATTAACACAGGAGGGCCTTCTATGAGTTTTGATTAATGCGATATATTTTATTTTATTTTTAATTTAACTTAGAGGTCGAGAATGAGTTTCTGACATTTTAGATAATAAAAAAAGGACGAGATCATAGGACGAATGAAAATACACGTTTACTTTAAAAGCAAAGTAATATATTCCACCTTCCATCACTGGACTCCTTTGTCGTTCAACTTACAGAACAAATATCAATATCTTTTATGTGATGCATGCCAACTAATCATCAAGATTCCTTCGACGTGCTTTCTGAATAACTCATCCCAGGTAGATTTCATCAATCTGATCAGAACTTTTTATGACACAGTTGTTGAACAGATGTGACTTGAAGGCAGGCTTCCTGGCTCAAACGTAAATGTACTGTTATTGTGCCACAGAGCTCGTGCACCTAATTTCTCCACGTTAAATGTCACGAGCAGCACTTGCTAGGGATAAAAATAGGATCACCTGCATTTTCGGCTCCAAGCTACAGGTGATCATGACCTGATGAATGCATGCATTGCCACGCTGGAACAAAATCCTGGCACTTTTGTTAATACTGTGGATTGTAAGATATTCTGGTACAAGAAGGCAGTTCTCCAACAGATTAACAACAGTAATTTGGCAAAAAACACTAGCATTGACAATACGTGTGTATGCCCTGCATGCAAAACCATAATAATGTTGGAAAATTGGAGATGGGACTTAGAATCTGACATGTTCATACATACTTACAATCATATGAAATGGATCCATACCTGTTATGCCGTTTTGGTAAGTGGGCAAACAAGTCAAACTAATTCAAACATAACAAGAATTTCAACAGCCTATTAATATAAAGTCGATCTACTTTCCCTGCTCAGTCAAACCTGATTTTGATCTGCAAAGACGGCATGAGACTGCAACACCCTTATAACTCTTATCCATTTGTAGCAGACATCTTCCTGTTTTCACCCTGCTGCGTCCATGATTAAGATGGGAAATTGCTTCAATTGCTTTGTTTGTCACCTCGTGCGGATGGAGCTAGGGTTTCGTATAATAATAAGCAGAACTAGACCACGAAACATATTTCCGCTAAAAGCAGAAATTCCAGTTGAGAAATCCACCGAACTAATTATATGCATGAAATGATTTTTTTTTTCAAAATTGCCTTTATGTATCTCAACATTGAATGAGACAGAAGTCAAAATGCAGACTGGGTTTCACCTTCAATTACGTCTTTCTTCATACAGGAGGAGGTAGGGCTGCTACCAGTTTGGGCATTGTTTCAGTTTTTCGCATGGTTTTGTGTTCTTCCCTCTTCCAGGAATGAAATAAATGTATCTTACAAGCAAATGATGCTGTTAATTGAAAAATGTGTTTGTGAAATCCGGTGACTATTGGAAATAACGTGATCAGAATTGCTTCCCTCATGCAGTAAAATGGCATTTTGTAACAGAGGAACCATCTGTGATGGGAGAAATGCTGAAATGAGGAACTCTTTAACAAGCAGGGTATTTCAAATTCCTTCCAACTGGTGTATTGGCAGATCTCAGCTTTGGTGTCGTCACTTAAAGATCGAGACCTGGTCAGAGAACTTAATCAGTGTAATATATTCCATCTGTTTACGGGATCGACGTTATGGCACGAAGAAACATCACTTTGATTGGTCTTCTCTACCTGGCTCACTTTACATGTAAGATGAATTTTTCGCGTGGGGGGAAGTACTTTTTAAAATGATAATTTGTACTGTCACGCAATTCAGTGCTTCTAACTTACACTTTAACAGTCTGACAGATTACTTCTGTGCATTTTGTTAAAATAGAAACAAATACAAAAAAAAAGCATAGAGAGAATTGAGAAAAGCAGGTCAGTAACTCTGGGTCAATTGACAAATGCAGAGAAATTAAAATTCAAATTGTTCATAGTGGGAGGTAGTGGAGATTCATAAAAAAGTTAGAAATGGTCTGAATACCTCCTTGGAAGTTCCTCCAGAACCGTGTCTAGCAATTATGTAATGTACTGTTGCAAAGGTACACAATTCACTGTCAATTAAGAATGGGCAACAATCGCCGAGTTTGGCAGCACACCAATACCTCTTACAGTAATCAGGATAATGATGATAAGAATATGTTTACTGTCCTATCTAATGATGCACAATCACAGAAGTATACGGACTTGCGATTTTTGAATTAAATAACATTCCATATCCCTCGTCAAACGAGTTCTAAGCACACGCTAAAGCATGCTACCGAAAGCTCCGTGATCATCTGTTGGAAACTTATTATTTCAAACTTGAAACTTCATTTTTTAAAGTAGAATTTATATCAGCATTGCTATTGACTAACAATGAAATGACCAGGAATAGGAAGTGTTCAAAACTTTTACCCACCAAAATCAAGCCTTTTTGGCATTACCAGGATTAACTAAATTACCTTTTCGATTATCTCTCAGGAGGTCAAATGAGGGCAACGTGCTTTTGTTTTTAATGTGAGTCTGTTAGGTCAATTGGCTGGTTATCTGAATGCCAATGTTGAGTGTTCAATTGCTGTATCAGATGACGTTTTGTGAATGTTTTGCCTTCTCAGTCACACCACTTAACCCGTGCGAGATTAATGTGACATCAGTTTACTCCCGTTTAATTGTCGTTTTGAAATAGAAAGATGCTTTGCAAATTTAAACAGGTGGCTAGCTAATTGTAAAAACATTTAAATTTTCCAGCCAATCTGTGGAGAGTTACTTTCATCCTGTGTAATCTATCAAATATCTGCACCTCCTCAAGAGTCACTACTTCCGTGCATAAGAATAAAGTAAAAATGCGTACCTTACCCACTAAACAACAAATTTGTTGGAATCTGACTTTTTAAATGCAAATGAATCAAGTAGCCTGTTGAAAGTTACGCATTTTTACCATTCTTATTATCACTTCCAAGTAGCATTTGCTTTTTCACTTCATTATTCAATCAGATACTAAATGCGATTAAGGATTCTAAATATTTACAGTATACTTCTCTACTTTCTTACACTTTTGCTTAATTCCACGTTTTAGTCATTATTATGGCCCATCTCTGGATATTTCAATGTCAATTCAGAGTTCAAAATTATACTTTCTATTCCAACGTCTTGACTGGTACATTTTCATCATCTGATGTTGCAGAAAGCAGGACTTGCATTATTGAATGACTGTGAATACCTAATACATTTTGTCCATCATTTCAATGGAAATGAATGTCAGACACCATATGTAACGTGAGACACTTCAGCTGCACTTATGTTCCGTTTCATCTAACAACATTTTTGCTCTTGTCCACAGTAGTATTTAGAGTTTAGGTTGATTACTTCAAAAGAAGAAATCAGGGTCTAGGCCCGAAACGTCAGCTTTCCTGCTCCTCTGATGCTGCTTGGCCTGCTGTGTTCATCCAGCTCTACACCTTGAAATCTCAGATTCTAGCATCTGCAGTTCCTACTATCTCTAAAACCAAATAGTTTCTTCTTCTTTGGAAATGCTGTCTAATTTCTGGGAAGAGAGCCCATGTCTTTATTGTGCATTTCAAACTAATCGAAGGCACAGAAGAGAAGATGTTTACTGCATTTTTAGATCAGCATAATTTGACTATTTTTTTTACGGCATTTTAGATGGGAAGAAATACCATTCAAGTAGAAAGGAATCTTACTTATCATGCACATCATACTATTCTGGAGACTTTGTCATTTTGGATTGCTTCTATCGTGGTGGCCTGCCTTTCCCTACGCTCACTTGGACTGGGCCGAATAACCTCTACAGGGAAGCATTTAACACCCAACGGTTCACAATCAATATCACAAGACAAGAGTTTGTGAATGACTGGAATACCATTTACAAATGCACAGCCAGGCGTCACTATTCAACTTCATACTGCTCCGTTGGACGTGGTGAGTAGATATAATTATGAAAATAGTCTATCAGGTTTTAATGCATAAAAAATATAAATAGTGTTTGAATAATGTTAATTCCACAATAATTTTTGCCTTTTCCAGTTGGTTGGCGGTTCTGAAACAGACCAATTTAGATTGAAAGATATGAGCATATAATGTTAGTAGGCATTTTCTCTGTTATGGCTGCGCTTGTTTTCGACACCAGTAAATCAATTCATCTTACTTTTCCATAGTTCCACATTCACACTATGTTTTTATCATAAGACTGTGAAACATTGCAGGTGAAGTAGTCATGTGGTCCATCGAGTCTTTTCCTCCATTCAGTGAAATCATACCAGTCATGCAATCTTCAGTTCGATTTTAGTCCCTTATCCTCACAAATTTAATCCACTTCTGGCAAAATATCTCTCGACCTTGGTCTAGAATACACATGCCAATACGACATCGTCAGCCCTCAGCTGTAAAGCAATATTCAGAAATTCACGAGTCTCTTAGAGAAAAAAAAATCTCTTTGTCTGTCTCAAATGGGCGGTGCTTCACTCTGGATTATGACCTCTTGTCCTAATCTCTCCCACAATGTGAATTAACGTCTCTACTTCTATCTTGTAAAGACCCCTACCAATATCAAATATATCAATACGACCTCCTTTCTTTGTTCTACATTTTAGTGAAAAGAAGACGAAAGTATTTAACCTCTTATCATAAAAAAAGCCTCCCATTACGAAAATCAGTGCAGTGAAACTTCCGTGTACTGTTTGCAGCACGACATTATTTTTCTTTAGATAAGGGGGTAAGAGACATTTGGAGAATAATATGCATTTTCTGTTCTGCTCGTTGTACAGCGAAAATCAGATTTCCTTATTTCAACTGTTCACTGGCCTTTCCTATTACCTGCTGAACCTGGATTCCATTTGCTTTTGTGATTCTTGAACAAAATGTGCCAAAGCCCTTTCTGTTGTCAATTTCTTCAGTCATTTCTGTTTTTTTTTTAAAATCAGCTCTTCTATACTTTTGATATAAGTGCGTTGGCTTGCATTTTAGTTATTCGCCAACTTACAGAGAAGATATTGTTTGTGGGCAAGTGGATTAGTCAGAACATTTCATTCTTTCCCTTGCCATTTCTTACCTGCTCTCACTTACATATTGTTTAATTCAATCTTCTATTATTGTTCATTTACTATCGCGTTTATTCCATTACATATTAAAAGAAAACACTGCCTACTTTTCCATTTGTCCTTTCAAAAAGCCCCAAGTAAAATACCATCCAGATCGCAGCTTTAATATCCTTATAACCATTTCTCTCTAATGGGTATAAGATCTTACCCATTAAGATCTGTGACAGTCGTAAATTCGTTTACTACATGAAAACGCTTTGCACATTTAAGTGAAAAGAATATTAATTTTGCCTGGTTTCCGGCTTCGTTCATCTGAAAGTATTAGATATTTTAATGCTTGCATATTCTGTAACTTCTTGGGTAAGACTGCGAAAAGCCTCCCCGCAATACTGTGATATTCCTTCTTCTGTCAGCCTCCGTAACCCCATCGCAAATAATCCCTCTTGTAAATAGTTTAAAGTCCATCCTACAACCGACATTATCCCATTGATCAAGACTCAGATGTGCAGTGTTAAGTAAAATTATTTCTACAGATTGTCCTCGAAGGAACCTACCCAATTCACGTTTTAAAGGCACCATTCTATGATGTTGCTATGCACAGGTAGAGTACGGCAGATCCCAAAAAACAAAAATCTGCAGGAGATTTCTGTTTCATGTGGGTCTTTGGCAATTTGCTTTACTTGGAGTCTGTGGGTTATCCATTTTTTTTCCCAGTGTGAATTGTTTCCATCTATACGCTCATAACTCTAAATGCTTTGTCTGTATCGTATCATGAACGTTCTGCTCTTATGTGCACAGTTGATTTCTAATATGATCTTGTGTATTAACCTTAAACAGGTATTCTATTCACTCTTTCAGAACACCGAGGGCTGAAAAAATTTGAACAGTTTCATTGTTCACTTTTTCTGCCGCACTCGATCCTCCAGATATCCACAAACAAGTCTTTTTTTTTCGCAGTTGCAAACAATTTAAGGTTATAAATCTATTTAATGTGCCACCTCACATTTCGCTGTGTTGAAATTAACCTGCACATTATTTGCCCAATGTGCACAACGTCAAAACATTTCTTTTACGCTTAAAGTGAATTCGAGCCCTACTAATGACTCATAGGAGACCAAACTATATACCTAATTTCGGCCCAATTAACCACTCCATCACCACCCACTGCTTTGTGTAACGGAGGTGATTTGGCGTTAATGAAGTGCATGGAATTTTTATTCTATCAAATATAAACTTGATAGAAAGTCAATTTCTTGACATGTTGTTAAGTCCGTTTCTCAGTTGTGGAGTACAACTACTTCGGATAAAGTGTAATTTTCAAATAAATTATGTTGTCTACAGCTATTGATGTTGATATTAGAAGCGTCAATATTCTTTCTTTTAGCTTGATATCCAGGAATCTTTCGCAATTTTTGGCATTTGAATTTGGTGAATGAGAAAGGAAAGATTTGCAGCTTTGAAATATACCCTATATGTTGCATTATGCGCATTTGACTTGACCATCATTTCTTGGGTGCGACTGCACAAGGAATCACAGTTTTAAGGCTTGGTCGATTTCAACTGAGTAACAAATCCTTCTTCAACATGCAGTATCAGTTTTATTATTCTCAGCTAACGTCTCTACTCACTAATCATAATCCGATGATAATGTTTTAGGATCTGGTGGATAGAGTCTTCAGAATTAAACAGATGCGATCAGTTTTGCCTTGCTCGTAGCTGTGGCAAATCTTTTACTTTGGGAGAAGAGACAAAAATGGTCCCATTTAAATTTTCATGTCTGTCAGATTCGTACGTGTTCACATTTTGAGTCAGGCTTCAAGGCAACTGATCTGCTTCGCCAACACTACTACCAATAGCTACACTAAGTCGGTGTTCTGTAGTTCAATTGTTTGGATGGTTGCTTTGCAGGCCACTTAAGCTTTCATCCTGAATGTGTTGGCTATCTTTGTTGTTGGTGGATCTTCTTTCATCTAGCAAGGTGAGACTTTTCCATCACGCTTATATATTATGCAAAATGGACAGGCACTGGGGATATCGGAGCTGAGTTAGCTAAAAGTGAATTAACATTTTTTTTCTGAACAAATGTCAAGATTCATATTCGTTTCATGGTTATATTATTTTTGTAGGAATTGGAAGCTATGTCGGAATTGCACTTGGCACTCTTGCACCACTTATCCTTTTATGTGTCATATCAATTTGCATCTGGAAACAGCATGACAAGTGAAAGTATCAGCCTTTTTAACTTATTTCCTTAATAATACAAAAAAAAGTCTTCATTAAAAATCTTCTCCAAATATACTAATTGGCCGAACATCCCTATTTGCATATGCTGGGAATTGATTGTTCATCTGAAACCAGAAGACGGATATTTTCATGTTCAGACTTTACAAATTTGCATTGTGAAATCAATAATTAGGAAATGAAGATTGTCTGGAGCATCGTAGGTTAATGAAGTTCGCTCCTTGCAATAGAAAAATATCTTCGAACTCTGATAACATCCCTTAATCTGCAAACAAAAAATGCTGCGATTAAATTCAGCGGAAATACTGTGCAGCATGCGTTTGGTAATCAATTTGAATATCACCTTTTAAATATTTATAATACTCTTAACATTTTGCAGTAAGAGTAGGTGAATTCCCTTCGTCAGTCATCCTGTACAATGCAATGATCTGGGACAACAGTACTGCATCTCTAAGTGTGAATAGATCCAATGAAAATCCATGGCCCAAGACATGGACTAAATATATGAGGAAAGACAGCCAGATGAAAGTGGAAGATAATACATCTTCAAAACGTGTAAAACACTGATTGTCAGATGGGAATTTAATATTATCAAGAAATTATCATAATCTTACCAGACCAACAGGCTGCTCTTGCATTAGAGTGACAGACAGCTGGCAGTGGCTTAAAGTTACTGCTCCTTGAATGAGGGGAAAGATTGAGAAGGATAATCCTCCAATAGGGCAAAATCTTTAACCCCTGCGTTCAGGTATCAAAACAAGTTATCCAGCCAAATGTGATAAACCAACCCACACTATACTACTCGCACTACTACCACTACCAATATCGTGTTTATTACTAATGATAATAATAATAGCAATAATAATAAAAAAGCAACACTGATAAAAGGGGAGAATTATGCTGCAGCTCCATAGTCCTTTGATGAGATAGACGTAACAAACTTTAGTTGTTCTTATGTCAGATAAGAAGTAACACATATGGAGGGTAATCAGTCAAATGATGGCTGAATGGATGTGATTATGAAACGAGAACTTTGTCCTATGATTAAAAAAAAAGTTGAGTGAACTCGGTTTTATACTCTGCATGTTCGATGTAAGTTAGGTGAAGCCATTGAAACAACCTATAAGAATTTGTGTTGGTGCTGCTTGTGTAACCTACAAAATAGAGGGAGTGAGTTTTTGTTTTCTATTTTCTGGTTCACAGTCCAAACATGCAGGGAAATTTACAGGTTAAACGTTTGGAAATATTTGGGAAATTCACTCCAGAAACATAAGATTATCATATTGCTTCAGATGCTTTAGGCTGACATTCTGATTTCTGATTATCCGTGGATTCATGGAATCTGGAGAAAATGCTATGAAAAGCAATTGGCGATGGAGCCTGTTGTTTTCCGGATCAGGCACAATTGGGCTCCAGGTTCAGATTGCTGCTTATCATTTTTTCTTATTTCCGTATGTGTTCAAGTGCACGTGATTTTTTTAGTTTTAATATTTTGCAGTGATTTTTAACGATGACGATGATGACAATTTACCAAATTATTTTCAGAGATCTGGTTTGTATTCCAATTAGTTTTAAAACTCTTTAGTATTTCATGTTCGTAAACTACCAACAACAACCTTCCTTATTATGTATTTCCGCCACTGTTGTGTCATTGCAGTAAGGTGCTTGCCAGACCATAGCATATTAAGTTTACAATTGAACCTAATAAATGATTTCCGGAGACTTCCCAAGGAAGTGATGTTTCTTCATCAACTTTATTAGCGAAATAGATGACTTGTTTGAAGAACCCAAGAGCTCCACGGCTGCCATAAGTAAAACTAGACGATTTAGTCGAGATTAATTTATTATATACTTTTAAATTCTCCATTTGCATTGAGGGGATTACGGGCTCCTTGCCTCTGCCTCATAATCCAGTTCATCGAATTCCCTGCCCTGGTACCATGACTTTTGCATAATCGTTGGAATTGCTCTTCCATTTGCTAATTTACGCTTTTCACTTGGATGAATTTGGCAAATTATTTTGAAATTGTCTGACATGAAATCTTCCAAACAAATTTATACTGTGATTGCAAATGGTAAACAGAGATAAATGCACATCTTGAATGCTGCATTATCCTTCCATATTTGGGGTGGCAGTGCTTATGTTTAGATGAACAAGTGAATATCTTTACTTTTATTTTCAAAAGGAGACAGCTATGTAACGAGTTATCTTTATCATTTTTTGAAGTTTGTGAAACGATTGCAAGATATTGGAGAAAAAATGAGACAGCTTCTGTTACCACATTTGGTCCAAGCTATGATAACCCAACTTACATCAACGAACTTGCAGATGATGGGAAGACACCAGAGTGAAATTTGGAATTAATCGCAAAAGCAGATTTGATTAGTGTTCATTAAAAAGCTTGCTGGCAAACTATTATTTTCTTCCAATTTTCATGGGCGGCTAACATTGATGTCAAGTCTCGAAAGGAAATTACATATCATGCAGCATGAAAAGTGTTCACTGTTTGGACTATTATAGATTGATGCACTTCCACCAAGGTTGCTCAGGGAATATATGTTTGCCAAAACTTTGCTGAGATGTACCCCAGCAATCTGAACTTGGCCAAGACACTGCAATGAGATAGTGGCGAGAAATGGTTGCAACCACTTCTCCCAGACCATGATTTCTTTTTTTTAATTAATGAAGCAGAATACAGAGTTAACGGAAAGATCCTTGGCAGTGTGGAGGAGCAGAGGGATCTTGGGGTTCATGTTCACTGTTCCTGAAATCTGCCACCCAGGTGGAGAGAGTTGCTAAGAAGGCGTATGGTGTGTTAGCTTTCATTAATAGAGGGATTGAGCTCAAGAGCAGTGAAGTTATGCTCCAGCTATACGAAAGCCTGGTTCGGCCACATCTGGAGTATTGTGTCCAGTTCTGGTCGCCTCATTACAGGAAAGATGTGGAAGCGTTGGAAAAGGTGCAGAGGAGACTTATCAGGATGTTGCCTGGAATGGAGGGAAGGTCTTACGAGGAAAGGTGGAGGGATCTAAGGCTTTTCTCTTTAGAACGACAAAGGATGAGAGGTGACTTGACAGAGGTATACAAAATGATCAGAGGTATAGATATAGTAGACAGCCAGAGACTTTTTCCTAGGGTGGAGGTAGCTATTAAGAGGGGCCATAGTTTTAAAGTGAGTGGAGGTAGACATAGGCGAGACGTCAGAGGTGGGTTCTTTACTCAGAGAGTGGTTGGGGCGTGGAATGCATTGCCGGAGAGGGTAGTGGAGTCGGCCTCATTAGAGGTATTGAAGCGCCTAAGGTAGGGGTAGAGGTTAGATAGACCTTAGGATTAGGGTAAAAGTTTGGCACAACATCGTGGGCCGAAGGGCCTGTACTATGCTGTACTTTTCTGTGTTCTATGTTCTATGCTCTATTAATGAAAGGAACTGCAAAGCATCAGTATATTATTATCGATTGCTAAGTCAGTTCTCCAACACATGACTTCTAGAATACAGAAGTGATCAATAAATATGTCCCAAAGATAGTGGCAAGTTATTTATTTAGTCCTTATCACAACTGATATTTCGATTCAGATATCGTGCAATTTCCGTTCCTGAACGATGGCAAACATGTGGCCACATTCTTCAGTGACAATTAGATCATAGTGGTACCTAATTTTATCTGTTCACAATCGAGTTATTACTGAGCATAACCATTTGCATTTTTTTTTGCAAAGCCAAAATACGGAATCATATATTATATGTGAAATAATGATTTAGCAAAATTTGATGATCAATCCCAATTATGCATAGAAATCCACCAATGGAAAAAGTAGCAAGTTGATCAGTTAACGTCCGTTGAGGCACCCTGTTTCATACTGCAAGCTATGTATGTTGCCACGTACGTTGTAAATTCGAAAAAGAAAATACATGTCTAAAAATAGCACTTTTAATGATATTCTAAAAAGGTTGAAAAAAAAACATAGATTTTAGAAACAATGACAATACATTGCAGTTTATTTGGATAGAATACCTCAGAGGCCATATACTTTAAATTTAAGCATCATCTTCAAAAATCAAGAAAATTAATAAAAAAAAAATGAGTCTATTACATGCATGGCGTACGCTTACCGAGGAGATAATAGAAGTAAACTACATTGGTTATTTCAAGTCAAAAAGCATTAGATGTAATACAGGAGACAACACATTTTAAAAAAAAGCACTTAAAACTGATTTCATATATTAAAGCAGGAAGTATAAACTGTCTCAGTAGAGCAGTTATGCATGGCGTCTATTTTCCAAACCTTCATAGAATGGAGGCATTCTGCAGTTCATAATTGCTCTATTGAGAAGCAGTTGGGTGCCCTGTTTCGTTAAAAGCGTTTCTAACATCTTACAGGATATCATGAAGTGTGTAATATATTTTTAACATGAGCTGTTTGCTCAAAATGTCTTATTTGTTGTCTAATCATTGACATTCAGGGAACAGGGAGCAGAAATTTGAATCGTTGTATTGTATAACGCCAAACATTCATCATTGGATTTTGACAATTCGTATGCTGTCAATGTTATATACAATTGGACATTCTAAAAGGACTCATTGCAAATAGAGACCAGAAATTTGATTTGGAGCATAGATTTTTCGCTTGGTACAATACATTTTAACTTTTAGGTTAAATTTCAATTGATCATTAATTATTCATTCTCACGGTAACATTCCTAATTTGCAATCAGTGCATTTTTTGACGTTGTTGTAACTGAGACTGTGATTATATTTGCAAATTATTACTGCCGGTTGTGATATATTTAACGAAACTCACTGTAGCATCAGGAATTTTTTTTTTTAAATGCCTTAATGCAACGTTTTCTAATTGAAATCTTTCTTCACAAAGTCAGGTCAGCACCTGTTTTTGTTATGAATAATAAAAGTTTTCAAAAAATACCCCCTGAAAATAACAAAGAATTGATAGTTCGCCTAAAAATCATATCGTTGCGCTTTTCTCTTGTTGCTTTCTATTGAAATCTATTTCAAACATCATGACATATTTTTCACCTTATTTGTTTAATTATTTGATATCAGATATAATAGTCAAGAGATTAGTGGGTGTTATTCCATAAAGACAAAATAGCAATTGATTTAAAATACTTCTCACTACAACTTTTGCAACTGTGTATCCAACGAAAAAAATCTGTTATTCCTTCATGAGTAATTTAGAAAATTATATAAAACCTTGCACTTTGAACGAAATAAAATGCATAGTTGAACCCTGCATGTGCTTAGATTCTGTTAAATTCATGCCGCTATGCAGGTGAAGATGCTTGCGAAAAAAAAACAAATTCTATTCCTCTTCGAGCAACAGAGACCCAACAGGCAGATTTAAACATACAAGGAAACAAACAAGAATTTGAGCGGTAAAAAACTGCCAACATTCTTTTGGAAATTAAAGTAGTTTGACGGTTCATTCTTGAAAAATTTGGAATTCTCGTGGTCATAACAGAAAGGAGCATCACAAGAAGTGTTTAAAAAAGCCTATATGTAAGGAACAAGATTTTTTTCTTTTTTTGTTTTCAAGGTGACAGCACGATTTAAAAAAAAACACAGCGATCACAATGTTATATCATGAATGATTTGTTGAGAAGGTGGCATGGTGAGAACATTTATATACTCTCATAACAAAAAATAATTTATCTTTTCTGACATTACAAATAAGTCAAATCCTGCTATGAAACATGCTGCTATTAGAGATTAAGGGTGGAGTAAAGGGATGTAAATTTAACATAATCGCAACCAAATGCACATTAGCAATTAATACAAAAGAAAAATAATGTAAAGCTGTATCTTTGACATTTTGTGATAAATAGTAAATGCCTGCGTACTGAATGATGTCGACATATCCTCGAACTATTGCAATAAAAAAAAAAAAAATCCTTTTCTTTCAGAATAATCCCCAAGCAATTAAGCAGGTCACGGTTTCTGGAAGAGTGGCAATTTGGGAAATTAGATAACGGAAATTGAAATCTGCTTTGTGGAAGATGCCAGTATCAAATATCCAGATTGAGAAATTTGATGTGTCAGGAATGACGTTAGAATATTATGACAGAAGGGGTGAAGATTAATATAGTGACAGGGATATACTTGGTTAGTTTCGTAAGTCTATAAAAGAAAAATCAACTGAGATGTACAAAAAAAAAAGAAATGCTCTGAGTCAAGCACAAGTACGATGGGATTTGAAATTTGCAATGAAGGGCGCTCATCATTTTAATTTTATCATACTGGGTGCATAACATGATATGGAACATGTGTAATTGTCCCAGTTTCCTGATTCACAATTGTACATGAACTAACATACCTGGTTAACTGGATATTTCTTTAAGTGTGGTATGGCAGGAATTGCTAAATTTCAGAGTGAATGTTCTGTATCAATGTGCTGAGTTTCACATTGTCTGCACAGAATGGAGAAGAACTTATATTGGGATGAGGGAATCTCGTCTTCATATTGATGTGGCTACCAAGAACAGAGAGAGATGTTCTGCAAAATCACAGCTAGTTTCGAAGAAGGAATGGAAAAATCCAGAAGCGATAACCTGTATTTCATTAGTTGTGACTCTTGAAATAAAATCGCATCAACTAACCAGATTGCAATGATGAAGGTGTTAATCAAAACTGGAATGGAAGAATTGATTCTTCTCGTTGCAGAATTCACATCAGTACTGGGGAAAATGGTATCTATTCTGAAAGGGTGACTCAACCTGAGCAATACTGGGTCCAGTACTTATACTATTGCAAAACTGGGAGGTACAGAGGATTTTATGCAGAATAGTCAGGGAATGTATCAAATTTCAGAAGATGTAATAAATCAAAGCGCCATGTCAAGTCAGAAGATTATTAGCGTAGGAAGAGACAGAAAATGTAATTGTAAGTAATCCAACATATGGTAGCAGTCTTTAGCAAATGTTACCAAAGAAAAGTAAAGCTAAAGGCTTTGTGTCCGTTTGCAAATAACACCAAATACAACACAAGTAATGATGCAAATAAATACGATCTAGTAATCATTGCACATGATTGCATGATGGATTGTAGTAGGTCCCGAATAATGGGCGTTACTGACTGTCTCCATATATTCAGGGCTGTAGATTGGAGAAAAATGTGACTTTTAGCAAGTTTAAAGGGCACAAATAAATAGAGGCCCTCGTGCTTATATAGATAGCGCCTGGGGTGATTTAACAAAACAGTCGGATCAAAGAATGGTTATGAAGAAAACACTGGCGAGTAAGATTAGGGAGAATCCCAATTTATTCCATAAGTATATCAAAGGGAACAGGATAAATAGGGTCAGAATTGGACAAATAATTGAGCAACAGGATATCTTTGCCTGGAACTGGAGGACGTTAATTTGGTTTAAAACGAATGTTTGACAATTGTCCTCAGTCGGGAGATGGAGGATAAAGCTCCAGAATTCGTGAAGAGTAACTGTGAGTTTTTTTGAGCAGATGGAAATAGGGAGTGAGGGGATATTGGAGGTTTTGGCGGGATTAAATGCTGACCAATAATCAGATATGTACCCTCAACCACAATGGGGGCCGAGAAAGGAAATTGTGATTAATGTTCCTGTCCCAAATTTTTAATTGCCCTTTGGCAACATGGGAAGTGCCAAGATCATGGAGGAGAAGTATTGCATCACCACTTTTGAAAATACATGGGATCCAGGGTAAGATAGCGGGTTGGATCCAAAATAAAGTTTTGGTGGGGTGGATGATGGTGATGGAAGATATGTAATTTTATAGCTTGTACAACGATTGGCTGTGTGGTTGATAAAGAGAAAGAATGCCTTGGTTTGCAGTAACATATAGAAGAATTTGGCATACAGGTAGACACTAAGTGTCAGTAATAAACTCGAAAAGAGTAAAAGGACAAGGAGGTATTCAATAAATGACAGATCACTAAGAAACTCATGGGAAAAGCGGGATCTGTAGGTGTTGGTTCACAGATTCCTGAAGGATGCAGGGCAGAATATTTTCTTTTTGAAAGAATACTGAATATTTCTATTTTTCAACATCAGACAACATCATGAAGGTTATGCTGGAGCTGCGAAAATCATTGATTAGAAGCAAGTGCAGTACTGTGCTCAATTCTGTTCACCATAATATACAAAAGGTATGATCTCACTCGTGAGGATGCAGAAAAAAATTACCCGGATCTTGTCTCAGAGGAAGCATTCTCATTGTGAAGAGAGGCTAGATAAGCTTGGTTGTTTTCCTATGGCAGAAATAATTGAAAGTGAACATGATTTATGTCTGTAAGATTGAGAGTGGAATCAACAGGGTGGCAGAAGGCGGCTATTTTCCTTCAATTGAAATATTAACCACAAGTGTGGATACTTTTAAAATGAGAGTCGGGCGGTTCGGTGAGAACTGGAGTTCTTTCTTCATTGGTGGTATTCTGTAATGCATTATCTGCGAGGGTAGTTGAAGTACAACTGTCACAACACTTGAAAGTACTTGCATAAACATTTGAAATGTCATAACATTGAAGGTTAAAGGTCAAGTGCAGGGAAATGGGTCTTATGTATTTTTACAGTCGTTTTCTCGGTTCATCTTCAAAGGGTAGAAAGATCTCTTCAATTCTCTTTGATTCCATGCATCAATAATTATACAACAGCCCTGTACTTGATAATAAAAGCATATAATTTTGAAACAACAAAAGAAAAAAATTAGGTTGCATGACGAAATGTCGGCCAGTTTAAAGTAAGACTACAATGCACGTAGGATATTAGTAAGGAGGGAAGATTGCATCATAAGCCAAAACTAGGCAGACCTGTTCAAGGAAAGGAAGTTAAGGGATTTATTAGGATAATAAAATCATGTGAGTAACAGTTAAGGTGAATAGTAAAGGTCCTTTTGCTTGGGTAGGAAAGTTCAAAATTAAATGGCATACTTTTAAGTTGACAGTAGAACAATTTAACAGGGACCTGAGGGGCAACGCTTTGACACAGAGGGTGGTTCATACGTGGAAGAATTGTCAGAGGAAGTGGTAGATGCAGGTACAGTTACTACATTTAAAAGAACATTTGGGCAGGTGCGTGAATATGAGCGATTTAGGGAAAAAGCGCCAAACGCAAGCAATTGGGATTACTTTAGTTTGGGACATTTGGTTGACACACGTGAGTTGGACTCAAGGGTCTGTTTAAATGCTTTATGCGTCTGTGTATCTATGAATATTTAATTTTATGAAATAAAGAAGACAACAAATTGAGCAACTGTCATGCAGAACGTAAAGTATTCTGTAAAAAATAAACAAAGTAGGTGGTGTATACTACTCAGATTTCCTGTAGATATTTATTGAAAGGTCATCATTGTGGAACGTAAATTTCATGCTTTCGGTGGTGACACAGTGACATTGACTGAAGTTGTTGGTTAAGTGATAAATGAGAGTAAGCTTTTTTTTTAGTGCTGGCTGAATATACAGAGATGTGTGCTGCAGGGTCTGGTGCCACGAACCGAACTGCTCACAGTATGAATAAATCACTTGAAAAGAAATTCAAAAGGTTTTCTGCTGACAGAATGAATGGCTGGAAGGTAAGTTGTGAAGAAGCCATAAAGGACACACGAAATTATTCGTAAATGCTAATTGAGTGAGTAAAAAAACATATGGCAAATGGGTAATAGTTACTATAATTGTGAAATTATTTATTTTGGCTCAATATCTTTTTTTCTTAACGTGCGCCCTTTACATGACAGGTCTCACAGAGCTCTGAACTCCAGCGGAATCTGACTGTGCAACTGAATTAAACACAAATAGATAAAATTCAGGCTTGGCAAATGAATATGAAATTGAGTGCAGCTGTTTGTAAGCACTGTAATTCAGTTCAAAAATAAGGAGATTAGACGTTAGTTGCCAAGGGTACTACTGAGGCACATCTGGAATACTGTGCACTGCAATCAGTATCGTTATTCTTTAAGGAGTTGTTTGAAATATGATGACGGATTGTTCAAGCAGGAATTGGCAGCATTGGAGTGTAGACCTTTCAGGCGAGATTTGAGTGAAATAGCTCCTGTATAGATGTGGAATATATTTACCTGTGTAGATGTGGAGCATATATGTCATCTTGCCTGACAATTTAGAAGATTTATACACTATTGAAAGACATTTAAAACAGCGACCAGACCTTTCTTTAGTTATTTCAAAGATTCACGAGACTCTTGAACTCTCTTCCTGATAAGAAAGGTATTTTAAACACAATTGGTGATTTTTTTTTTTAAATGCAGAGGT